GAGGTTTGCTAAGCACTCAAGAAGCTAGAGTCGCACTCGGCTATCGCCTCGTGCGACTCTTACGCTTCTTTCGTGCTTAGCAACCTCCCGCGTGTATTCATAACTCAATAGTGCATGCTATGGCGTTTACCATTTGTTAATTGTTTTATTTGGCTTTATCTGATGCTCATATATCTCCTTTTCAATGTGATTTTTTTTCAGTTTTTCCCTATAGTTATAGTATCATTATAACTACTTCTGTAAGCTCTTTGCTGAGGAACATTTTGCAAAATAAAAATATTGACGCCAAAAAATGGTTACCAAAATCGGAGTAAGCAAAAAAAAAAATAATACTTCCTTACGGTCGAGTCGCTTTTTTTCTCCATGAAAAAAGAAACTTTTTTTTTTTAAATTGCACACGAAAGAGAAACCAACTGAACTCCACCTATTATGTGAGGCTTAAAATCGGACCACTTGTACACGTTTCCCTCCCCTGCCCGGCACGATTTCGACATACTAACAATCTCGTGGTGATCTATGACTCGATTCCATATATTGACACCCGTCATTTCGCCAACAAAACTCTGAAGCGCATTGAATCTTCCTGCTCCTGAGTCTTGCTCTTGTCCCAACACTAGAGATCCAGCACCACGGATCACGTAACCTAGGGGAAAAAAAACATTGAACGATTATTCGCGAATTGTTGAATTTTAATCGGGCATTGATGTCATAAGTTCCCGATAAAATTTGCAAAAATAGACATGGTGGCGCGCAGGAAATTTGAAATCGTAAAATAACTGAAATGTTACACACAGCATTCAAAACAGACAAAGAATTATCGACTTCAAATCGCCTAAACATTTTAATTTTAACACCAAACACCAGCTTATGATCTGGAATAATTTTTTTTTTCTGCAGGGATTCCGTTTAAGCATTGACGCTTAAGGAAAATGGAAAACGGCAAAGCAGCCGCTGGTTTTCTACTCCTTTCCTCTAGTCCTTAAATAAATCACACAAAAACTATGTCTCCTACCTGTCCGCAAATACAAATATTTCCACTTTACTATAAAAAGAGTTGAAGACAGACGGCAAAAGTTTCATTTCCCCGTTTGTCGTTTGCCGTAAGCGTCATGCCTAACTTCTCTGTTCTTAAATAAGGAGTAGATGTAAACTCTAGCCACTACTCAATGAAGGATTCTGGTATCTCGACAAGATCCTAGTCATTTTATATCTGCTACAGACCTCCTGGACAAGATAGATAGGTGAAATTGTTATTCATTTTTCGTTATCTGAACAATCAATGAGCTAAGCTTTGTCTAAATCTTTTGATGAAGAAAAACAATTTGATCTTAATTAGCGCAAGTAAGGCCTGCTCTGGGACCTTAAGTCGCCTAAAGTCACCTAAAGCCGCCTAAAGTCGCCTTAAGTTGCTATCGGTTACGCAATGTTAAAAAGGTTTCAACACACTCAAATTGTCCCTGTAGAAGGTTATCAGACTTGTAACTGTCATGTTAGGGTAAACTCTACTTTAACCCTATGGAGGAGGAGGCACGATGACCCAATGGTTGGTACAATGGACCCCTACTGGGGATCATTACATTGTGTTCGTACTCTCATAGTGCCTCTCTTCGCCCAGATGTAAAAATGGGTACTGGTTACGGAGCAGGGGGTGGGGGGGTGGGGGGCAGGATGCAGCAGATGTAACCTCAATAGGTGTGCTTTTAATTTTTTTAACACTCGTTCCCAATGCATTGGAGCCATCTAAAACTTCCCTTAAAGGGCCCTAGTCGGCCACACCTTTTTTTTTGTTTGCATACAAGAGTTTGGCTTATATGTTTTATTCGGAATACGTCAAAGCAAAGAAAATCACTGAGAAGCTACTAAAGATAAAGGGACAGTAAACTCAATTAATTGACCTCGCTCCCAATGTGTGGCTTCATAGCTCACTTGGAAGAGCATCGCAACGGTATCGCGGAGGTCACGGGTTCGAATCCCGTTGAAGCCCTGATTTTTTCAGGCTTCTTCTTCCCAATTGCTTAAATTGGAAATTTACTGCGATGATCACTCTTCACNTCACGGGTTCGAATCCCGTTGAAGCCCTGATTTTTTCAGGCTTCTTCTTCCCAATTGCTTAAATTGGAAATTTACTGCGATGATCACTCTTCACTCATCTACAACTGCAACTCAAATATGAATTATTTCATATATACTTCACATCAGTGTTTAATTAACAAACAACAACAGTGAAAGGTGTTCCAGATCAGTAAGATGAAAAAAAAAAAAAACAGAAAGATATTTCTGGGTTAGGACTCAATACTTGCGAGTCACCTTTACACTGAGCAGTAAGATATGGTCATCCAAAGTCAATTGAACCGAACTGAGCCTACACTTTAAACACTTTACTTACCCAGTGTAAAAAGAGTGAGAAAAGTGGGTCATTTCTCCAGCAAAAATCATTATTTGCATTTTACTTCCACATTTGACCAACTGTAAACGTTTGAATTCGTAACTGGACGAACCAACTTGCAGCATAATGTTTATCTATCCTTTTCGTACATTTGATGAAACCAGGTATTCACATCATCTTATACACTTTACGTGGACTGCGCTACTGTTACCATCGAAAGCTAAGGTACAGAAAATTCTCTGTAATCAACTCTCAGTAAACATGGCCGCCAGGCGAATGCTTGGAACGAGTGACTTAGTTTGGCTCCGTGACTAAAGTGTACGCGAGCTCACGCGAGTAACTCGCGCCCACGTGAGTATGATTACTCCGACAGGCGTTTACAAAAAACAAGAAAGAAAACAAATTGCCAAACTAATACTCTCCGAAATTTGAATACAGTTATTTACTATCAGGTGATCTGAAATAAATCTACATTCGGGAACACTTGGCAAGAGAACTCGAATTTTCGTGGCACAGGCCGATGTCTCGTCTCTTTGAAGCATGAAAGCCAGTTAGCGGCGCAAGGGTTGCTGGGAGAATCAAAATGGGGGAGACCAGTGTGGCTGGTATCGATGTATCAGTTTCTAGTGTTTCGTTGTGAAAATGTCATTCGGGGCATTTGCAATGTGTCAGGTGGAAACTAGTGAAAGCTTAGAAAGTGTATTTCCTGGTGGTCTGATCAACCCTGGTAAAAACCTTCTAAACAGATTCGATTCACTTTATAAACTGCCAGGGTCATCAAAGTTTTCGGGAGCCTGACAAGTAGTTGGTGAAATTTGACAGGAATTTTTCTTTTATACAAAAGAACTTAGCATGCGGTACTCGTTATGGCAGGAGAGCAACAAATTGGTTGGGTCCCTGAAAGGGACTGAGAAACTTTGAAAAGCCACGCCATTTGCTAAACTCCCATGCTAAAATTGACAGTGGAGATGCCAAAAATATGGCAGATAAGTCTACCAAGATAACCATTTTTATAATTCGGGAAGCATTGTAAAATAAATGCATGTAAATAAGCTAAATTAAGTTTAATTTCCCTTTTGTTTGAATAATTTACGGAAAATATACAAACATTTCAAATTAAATCAAGAAATCTTAAATTTAAAAATTTTGCCACTCTGAATATATATTTATTAGTTTTGCTTGGTTTTAGTATTGCGATATCTTCACTAATATTCATGCTATCTTGCTGGTATTTATTCTTATATTCTAATATTCTTACATTGTTACATTGTTACATTGTTACATTGTTACATTGTTACATTGTTACATTGTTACATTGTTACATTGTTACATTGTTACATTGTTACATTGTTA